ATATTTTCTCTAAAAATTGTCGGGTAATTTGAATCTAATTACGATACAGATACTACATAGGTAACAGTACGCTGATTGTTGAGATTGATAGACAAAGCGATAGGCAAAGAGGACAGACTGAAAATATAACGATCATTTTGGTGGAAGGTGGTTGCAATGGACAAAGGAGATAAGTAATATATCAACTAATTGGAGCCCACGATCGAGAGGTCCTATAGCTAGAGTGCATTTTGCAATTTGGAGCTATAAATTCTGGCTCATCTGAAAAAACACTTATGTGCATAGGGAAACTAATGGCACATACGTTGTTTTTAAACCGGGCCGGAATCCATAGTTCCTAATTGCAAAATGTAGTCCAGTTAGTCTTTAATTTCCCCCTTGATCTACACCAACCACCCGTTTCAACCAACAGAATCACTCCATGTTCCCATGTCTTGTTTGTCCATAGCTTTGATCCCGTGATTTTGACCCCACCCACTCCTACTTGTAACGCACCCGTAACGCAGCCATACACCCCGCTCCCTTGAATTACTTAATGCTGGCCTGACACCCGCCTAAATTTCCAAAAAAAAAGGGGGCGGGATTTTCAAAGTCCTTCCTAGTTTGGACTTAACACGTAACGCTGGGTTTGACCCTCCCCCTCCTCTTTGTAACGCACCGTTACGCTGACTCAAACCCTTCCCCCCCTCCCTAAATGCATTACGTGATACTAGAACGGCTTCAAAGGTACTCGAACCTTTCGATCGCCATCTCAGATCCCGGCGGCGGAAACGCGGAATTCCGATTGGCCCGGCAACGGCGTCGGCGTAAAACAAACATTCCGGTGGGTCTCTCCGCCTCCGGGTTCACCTTCGCCGCCTCCGCTCCGTCGCCCCCTCCGCTCCGTCGCCCCCTCCGCGGGCCGCGGGTCCTCCGCAACGAATACAAACCCATCAGCCCCCCCCCCCCCCCCNCCTCGCCCCGCCACTTTTCAGATGATGATAGTAGGCCTGCTCCGCGCCGCACCGTGGATGGATTCGATAGGAAAAGTCGGACAAAATTTGGAAAGTTTAATCGCTCATAACTCCGTTTATACCAAACTTTAAGGTTCTGAGAGAGGTTCCATTGGTTTTCTCGTGAAATTTTCTTTCAGAAGCATCCCTTAGAATTTAAAATGTGATGAATTAAGCGTCAAATTTTGCAGTTTTAGTAAAAAATTTCATGCCCGACCTTTCTAATTGATTCGATCCACTGTGCGCCGCGGTGGATCGAGTCAATAGAAGAGGTCGGACAAAATTTGGAGACTTTAAAAGCTTATAACTCCGTTTATACCAAACCTCAAGGTTCTGAAAGAGGCTCCATTGGTTTTCTAGTGAAATTTTCTTACGGAACCACCCCTTAGAATTTAAAATGTGATGAATTAAACGTCAAATTTTGCGGTTTTAGTAGAAAATTTCATGCCCGACCTCTCTAATAAATTGATTCGATCCACTGTGCGCCGCACGGTGGATCGAGTCGATAGGAGAGGTTGGACAAAATTTGGAAACATTAAAGGCTTTTAACTCCGTTTATGTAAGACTTTAAGGTTCTAAAAGTGGTTCCATCGGTTTATTCGTGAAATTTTCTCCTTAAAACGCCCCTTGAAATGTAATATAGGACGAGATAAACACCTAAATTTGCAGTTTTAGTACTAAATTCCATGTCCGACCTTTCTAATTGACTCGATCCACTGTGCGCCGCCCATGACTGCACGGACCCAGACCGCGCGTATTGCGAAGTGTATTTGGAGGGTATGGAGGTGGTCGACTTGAATCGATCGAAAAGTGAAAACGGAATCGATCGATAAATTATTAAAACCGATGTCGATTCCAGACACATATTCAATCGACAACCGTGTATCGATCGACAACTCCCTGAATCGATCGAAAAATCCGTGTGTCGATCAACAAACCCGTGAATCGATCAACAAGCACCTGGAATTCATAATTTCTAGACGTTTTAAGGCTCCTGGAGTCAAAATAACCATACTTGAAAAAATGTGTATCCGTCCGTCCGGTGTCCCCCAAATCCGTCTACAGCGATATCTCAGAATCTATCTGTTCGATTTCATTCAAAATTTGCAGAGAATCCCATGGTCTCCTTATGCACGTCAAACGATTTTGGGGTACGCTAAAATTTGGGGGGGGGGGCTAGGGTCCAAGGTCCATTTTTTTCTTTTAGGGACAATAAAGTATCAATGTGGAAATAAATTTCATTTCGTGTTTATATTTTATTTTAGCCTTTTACGACGAAGAAATTGATTTCGGTTTCCGCGGTAGTTCGGAACGTTCCAACTCGAGGTACGTTTTCCCCCTAATTTCACTAACACCGCGTATCTTGCTTACGTAATGGCTTGTTTAATCAAAGAAATAGACGTCGGCATTAAAATACTCACACAGAGATAATCTAAACTAAAACGGAGGATCAGAGTCATAAACTAGTCGAAGAGCATTAACGTCGCATTATTCGGTTTCCGGAGACGGGGTGGGGGGAGGGAGGGGGCGCTGTGAAAAGCGGGGTCAAAGGCGAAAGCTTGGGCGGAAAAGGAGGCGAAAGCCTCGTGGAAACGGAAAAATGGGACGGGCGGGGGCGGGGTGGGGCCGGAAAGAGGAGTCGACTGTCCGTGTCATTAGTTACAGTTTAAGATACTCGCTGCATTGCCAAGTTGGTTGAAATTCCGGATTTTGATTTGGTACTAGCTCTGTAATTAATTAAAAATCGAATTGGGACACTGAAAAAAAAAAAAAAAACACATTGGATCTAGAGTCCAGACTCTTGAAAACATTGACAAGAGAAAGGACTCCAGCGGCCCGATTATTGAAACTATGTCAGCCCGACACGACAAGACATAGCCCTATCTTAACCATGCAATATATCGCAATTCGATGTCTTATCGGGCTGGTTTAAATTTCAATAATCGGCCCGCTGATTCAATCAGATTTCAGCTTAAATCAAAAGGAAATCCGCTCAAATTAAGAGGCTTGGTTTTTGATTTAAGCTTAAGTCTTATTGAATCAAGAGTATTTTTTCTTGTCGATGTTTTTAAGAGTCTGGACTCTAGATCCAATGTGTTTTTTTCTTTCCAGTGCGGGCTGTATAAACATACCGTCCGTTCCGGGCTCAAAGGCGGAAAGTTCCGGGTGCAGGAGCCGTAGCTTCGATTGCTCCGGTTACTACGCCCGGAACTTTCGGCCTCTAAGCCCGGAACGCGAATGGTTTATCTATATAGCCCGTAAGTGCGGCTTCCACGCCGGAGGTTTTTTTCAATGGTGCCGCTTATATCGTACGTGACGCTGCATTAGGGATTTTGCAACCTCCTTTCCCCCCGTAAGGCTTTATGCACCGGGGAAAAAAGTGATTCGCTCAAGTATGATAATTCTTAAACTAGCCGCTAAAAGTTATTTATCTTGATCGTGTTTTCACTTCCTGAACGGAGAATTCGAAGGTGTCTGAAATTAGATAAGTTTCAATTTTCAATCAAAACGATAGAAACGAAATTTTGAAACTTCGCATAGCGCTCCTGACACTTCGGCCGGAAGGTGACGATATCACTTAACGGCCAAAGTATCACAAGCGCCATGCGACGTTTCAAAATTTCCGCCGCCAGTTTATTTTTTTTACGGAGATAGTGTTGGTTGAATTTACTTGAAAAGTTCATCGAATTTTATCTGCACATGGAGAAAAAAACCTCATGCGTGCAGGGACCCGAAGTTTAGGTCGTATGGATCTCTGAAGTTTTCGGATTGAGCATCTGAACACCTTAGGTCTAGCTGTCGAGGTTCGGATCACACATCTGAAACTTCAGTTCTTACATCTGAAGTACATCAGATGTGAGAACCGAATTACTTCGGATGTGAGAACCGAAGTACTTCAGATGTAAGCACTGAAGTCTCAGATGTGTGATCCGAACCTCAGCAGCTGGGCCTAAAGTGTTCCGATGCTCAATCCGAAAACTTCCGAGATCCATATGACCTGAACTTCGGGTCCCACGCACGAAGTTTTTTTCTCTGTGCAGCACAAAGTTAATTCAGCGAAATTTTCGGACAGCTTCGTTGACCAATGTGTCCGTAAAAAAATTAAATGGCGACGGAAATTTTGAAACGTCGCATGGCACTCGTGACACTCGGGCCGGAAGGTGCCGATATGGCAGCTCAGCTCTTGACATTGACCCGCCCGAGGACTCGACGACAAGGAGTCGACTTCTCGAGTTCTCCCTGGGGATCCTTCCGGGGAGAGGGGGGGGGCGCAGGGATTACACGGCAAGATAAATGACTTCTGCCCGTCCACCCCTGAACTCGTCCTTGGCCCGGGGGGCGGAGGGAGGGGGGGCGTCCGCAAATCACGCTTCAGTCGCGGCGCCCACCAATCACCATCGACCACCCCCGCGCGCCCCCTCCGCGCATGTCAAGACTCACGCGGACGCCCCGAGAAAAATGAGGGATGTCGGAGCGGTGTCCGAAATGAAAAGGGATAAGATTGGTCGACGGGCGAAGATGGGGGCTGATAATTTGTCGATATATATTCCTGTCGGGATGTATGATCGGTTTGGACTCGGGAGATATTTCAGGGGTAGCGTCACGTATTGTGTGCGAGCTTTCACCGCGGATGAGAGATCTGCCGTGCTAAGGAAAAACGCCGTATGAACATTCGAGAGATGCCGAATTTCTCTTGGAAAAACATGTATTTTTGACGACTTTCTTGCACATTTTTCTTTTCTATTTTCAGAAATTTTAGATTGAATTGCGTACAAAATAGTCTAAAAATAGCGGGGAATAATATTCACAATTTTCCCAGTAAATTCTGTTTTTATTGAAGAAATGCGGCAACGTCTGAAGGCTCATACGGCGTACACTGCCGTGCCAAGGAAAATGGACCGCTGTTGAAAATGGATAGTTTTCCGTCCACGATATTGGACTCTATGCTCATCTACTGCTTGTTAGGAACATCTTACATTGTGAAGAATGAAAAAAGTGATTACTGACCTGTATCCTAGCTTCGGGCAGTCCAATTTTTTCTGCTAACCGTTCCCGGGCAAAGACATCGGGATAGTGAGTTCTTTCAAATTCTGTTGGACAGAGAAAACAAAACATTATAATACAGAGAGGTGACGACAACGGCTTTCATGAAAAGAAATCCGAGATCTATATATAGAGGTTAGGTGCGGTCATCAGTATAACTTCTTGGCTGATATGGCAGCCCGCAATACGCACGAGCCAGAGGTATCCTGCCGTAGTAAGGAAAACACCGTATCAGCATTCCAGAGTTGCGAAATATTCTCCGATAATATATTTCTTTTTGGTGAGAATTATAAATAATTTTTCTTAAAATTTATAGATTATTCAGATCTGATGGCGATTAAAATTTTGGAGAAATATTTACAGATCTCCCTAAAAATTCGTATTTTATCAAAGGAAATTTAGCAACGTCCGAAGGCTCATACGGCGTTCCTCCTCAGTCCGGCAGTATGATCGAGTCAGCCAGAGATGTGGTAGAATCAACCATACCCCAGCTGGCGCAAAGGCACTTTTCGTTAGCGCCAAAATCAGTCAAAAATTTAGTAAAACTTATCGTAATCTTTTCCGGGTGGACACAACCTTTTTTCATGAAAACATATCATAATTTGTGTAAGCCAAGAAAATTTTCTCAACAAAGAAAAACCAATTTTTTTTATTTAATTCAAAAAATCGACGGCGTAAGTCCGCAATCACAGATCTCGTTTACAGCCGCTGAATGCGCTAAATGAGCAGAAGGTCATCACGGCGCTTGTGTGCAACTATTCGTGCTCTGTGGATGCGCGTTTTGCGTCAAAAAACTTGAAGGCGCCATGGTTTTTCTTGGCCACACTTGTGCTGCCTGCCACGCTGCTGCTTAATAGACGCTATTACTGGGGACATCACCATAAGGATTCCCTCTATATCTAAAAGGATCCCAACAACAACAATGAGGTAACCTCTTTCAATGTTACCGATGAGAATAAAACGATAGATCGACGGTGTAAGTTGGCAATCACATAACTCGTTTGCGGTGTCTAAAAATTTCCGCCTCTATGTTATTTTTTTATAGGAGAACAAATTGACATCATTTCTTGAGGTTAACGGAGGATTTTCTTCGCACAGAGAAGGAAACTCACGACGGTTTTCAAGAATTCCTGTTGAGTAGTTTTCCGTTTAAAAATAACTATGACAGGAAGTCTGCGACGTAGCAAACCGAGTTATGTGCATGATTGCCGACTTACATCGTCGAAATGTGTTTTTAGAAGCATTTTTTACAAAGCATGCATTCTCATTTTGCACTAGAATAAAAAAACACATTGGATCAAGAGTCCAGACTTTTGAAAACATTGACAAGAAAAAATACTCTTGAATCAATCAGATTTAAGCTTAAATCAAAAGGAAATCCGCTCAAATTAAGAGGCCTGGTTCTTGATTTAAGCGCAAATCCGATTGAATCAAGAGTATTTTTGGTTGCGGATGTTTTTAAGAGTCTGGACTCTAGATACAGCGTGTTTTTTTTCTTCTTTCAGTGTAGCAAACTGAGTTATGTGATTACCGACTTACACCGTCGAAATGTGTTTGGAGAAGCATTTTTACAAAGCATGCATTCTCATTTTGAGGAGGGTTTTATAATATTCAAGGATTATGATAGGGAAGTTACCTTTTTCAAGACTGTCTATTTGTTCGTTGGTGAATGAAGTGCGATTCCTCTGGAGTTTCCTCTTGAGTCGGAGTCTCAATTGGGAGTCTTCGTCGGCCGAGGAATTGTGCTCCGAGTTGCCGTCTGACGTACTCTCGTGCGCCAGCTCCGTCGCTGCCAACAGAAAAGAAGCTACTTGCTTAATGCTCAAATGCTCAAACCTCAGTTTCCAACAACATCATAAATCAGAAAATAATGAAAAAAAAGAAAAAAAATAATGCCTAGAAATAATGCCTATCCTCATGCAAAAAGAAGTCCGCGGAGTCGATCGACACAGATGGATCGAAAAATGAAAACGTGGACCGATTCTTGTGATCCGATCGACAACCGCGAATTGATCGACAGATCCGTAAATCGATTGAAGAACCCGTGAATTGACCAAAAACTTCGTGGATTGATCGACAGACCCGTGAATCAATCGACATAACTCATTAAATCGATCGAAAAATCCGTGAATCAATCGACAAACTCGTGAATCGGTCGACATAACTAATTAGATCGATCGACAAATCCGAGAATCGATTTGAAACCCCGTGAATCGACCAACAACTTCGTGGATTGATCAACAGACCCGTGAATCCATCGACAAACTCGTGAATCGATCAAAAACTCATTAAATCGATCGACAAACTCGTGAATCGATCGACAACTCATTTTTGAATCATAGTAAAATCTGCTTAAATTAAGCGGATTGATTCTCGAATTCAAACAAAAATCCGCTTGAATCGAGAGTATTTTAGATTTCTAAGAATTTTTCAGTCTAGACTCTGGAGAAACTCCAAGAGACTTTTTTTTCAGTGCGCTTAAAATTTTAAGACCAAAATGACCCTTATATAGACTGGATTCCTGGCGATTATAAAACAAACAATTCAACGCAACTAAATTTTTTGAGTGACGATTGATTTTCCGTCCCAAAATCAGGAAAAATGATGCTTAAACATAATTCACCCCTTTAAAACGGTTCTTTCAGCCAATCAAGCAACCAGGCTCTCGCGGCACGACGCGACGCACAGTGGATCGAGTCAATTGGAGAGGTCGGACATGAAATTTTTTTCTAAAACTGCATATTTTGATGCTTATGTCGTCACATTTCAAATTTTAAGGGGTGTTTCTGGAGAAAAATTTCGCGAGGAAACCAATGGAAGCACTCTTAAAACTTCAAAGTTTGGTATAAACGGAGTTGTAAGCGTTTAAAATCTCCAAATTATGTCCGACCTCTCCTATTGACTTGATTTATTGTGCGGCACGACGATCGAGCTCAGAAATTGCGATTAATCCAGTCACCGCTCCAATGACTGTCGGCGGCGCTGATGAAATCTAATTATTTTGGATCGTTGCCATCGGAACGGCCGTAGAATGCAGATTACAAGCATCTATTTTTCCCTCCTCTTGTTCGGGAACATCATCTTGTTTGTAATCATCCAGGTGGTGTCACGGGAAAAGATGGACGAGAGAGTGAACCGACCGTCCACGTTGCGTAGGGATAAAGGAACCGACACAAGACCCGCTGGAGCGCAAGGTGTTCGCAACAGAAACAACCAGATTGATGTCGGGAGATGGCTTATTTATAATTTAAAAGTATAGTAAAGCCGCCAGTGAGGTGATCAAGGTTAAAAAAACACAAGCTGATGCAGGTAAGCATGATACGAAAATCATGGAGTTCTTATTATTTTTAAGTTACAAATGCGCTAGAATGCCCCTTATTTTTTAAATTTGAGAAAAGTTATGCTCCCCAAGTCTCAAAACGTGCTATGAGGTGTACAAATAAGGAATGTTTTTTGGAAAACAATTTTAGCATCCTTTCAAGTGCCCTAAAGGGCGTCAGTCGAAAATGTTAATTTCAGGTAGAGTGGACAGTCAATTTTAGGTGTAATTGACGAATTAACGCCTGTAACAAAAATTTGGTCCGTTTAGTCGTATCTTTGATCGTTCAGCCGGAAAACCGACTTAAATGGGCGGGTTCACGCGTGGTTTTACAACTTGACATTGCTAAAGTAACTGCAAGTTTTACATCTTGACATTTGCTAAAGTAACTGCTGTATCGGTTAATTTAGCGTTTTGTGAGTTCTCGTACACTTCTTTACATTCAAAATGTTAGATCGTCATAATTTTGTTTCGTTGTGAGCTATTCAAAACAGACAAGTGATTCCGATTTTGCGTATCCTCGTGCAAACATCGCTCAGAGATCGCATCTCGCAACAGAGCTTTGGAAAAAAAAAACACATTGTATTTAGAGTCCAGACTCTTAAAAACATCGACAAGAAAAAGTACTCTTGATTCAATCAGAATCTAGCTTAAATCAAGAACCAAGCCTCTTAATTTGAGCGGATTTCCTTTCGATTCAAGCAAAAATTCGATTGAATCAAGAGTATTTCTTCTCGTCAATGTTTTCAAGAGTCTGGACTCTAGATCCAATGCGTTTTTTTTTCCAGTGAGAGAGGCGCCGAAAGAAAGCAGACGAAAAAGACCTCGGCACTCACTTATAAATCACAATATAACGTAATTAAGGCTCCGACAAATCGTTCGGGAAGCCGAGCCTCTTTGTTACACCCTGGACCCCCGCGTACGTCCGCGGGACACACGCACCGATGTGAGTGTCAGGGATCGGAAGATAGAGAGAATTATTTTGTCGGGTAGTTAACTTAATCAGGGGGGAGCCCCAGCACGTGACTCTAACAGTAATGTTGTTATAACTTATTGCAATATTTCCACACGGATGAGCCCCGGTTTAGCGAGCCTCCCCCCGACCCCGACCCCACCCCCGTCGCCCGCCCAAGACCCACGAGTTTGGTGGAAAATTAAACTGTTATGATATTATATCTCACTCCGCCTGGGCCCAGTCCCACCCTCCGCGTCGCGGCGCTGCTTCAGTCGAATTAGGTTTCGATATTGATTTCGAGATTTTCGTGGCTGTATTTGCTGCGCTTTGACCTCCGGTGAAATTATTTTCGGGCCAAAGGGACCGAGTTTCTCGGAAAGGAACCAACTCACATTTTCGAAAAAGTTGAGTCACGAATGTTTTTGATTTCTGTCAGAGTCTATTTATACTGAGAGTTATGACACCCCCCCCCCCCAACTCATGGTGTTATAAACGGGAATAAAGGTTACACAAATTGAAAGTTTTTCGTAATCTTTAATCGGCCCATTCTCAAATTCCTTTATCTGTTCCTTCTCTCATCCCCTTTTTTCCGATAAAGGTTTACGATTTTTATAGGTGTAACGCTCTGAACTTATTTAACTTTCTCGTAATTTAGACTTTTCGTGAGATGTCAACGATGTGATATTTTGTCAAGCTTGTGGCAACTTGTGTAAAACAAACTGTGATATATTTATGTTCCAAAGAATTTGTACTCCGAAGTTGGCGCAAGCCAAAAGGTACCTCAGTGATTAATAAATATTAAACACAACACCTTGGTTCTCATTCAAACACAAATAAAATGGTGTTGTTCAAATCAAGCCCTATTAATTTATTTTTCTTGAAAAATTGCAACCCTGCCACCGCTACGTGTGGCTCTTTTACAGCAAGACATCCACCGCGAATTCCCTGTGAAACAAGGACACCCACACACCGTGTATTGTGTTCTCCCCTGAGCGTGTATCGAAATTCGATCTCTCGACGGAAACTCGGAGGCTCAGCGCTTGGTTAATGACAACTAATTAGATGAAGCTGCGATGATTGGTGATGCGCGGATGTTCCTGTTTGTCGTCGCCCGTTGAGTGCTGTCGATTTCAGCCAAATTGATTTGCGATGTGGCCGTGGCGGAAGTGTGCAGCTGGTAGCGCTGCGACCCCCCAACCGCCCCCCGACCCCCAAACAGCCCCCATCCCCTTCACGGTTCGCGACCCGCGTAAATTGGGGTTCGGCGCTACCCCGCCGCTTGCCGGATTTGCTCCGGCTCCCCCGCACGATTTGATGTGAACGCCGAGATGGGATTCGCCTGGAAATTCGTGTTAGCCTCTTTCTTAGTCATTTGATTTTTTCTTCTTTTCAAAATTCGTTTCTCAACATAAATCGTGCCGATCACTCCGATACAAAAAAAAAAAAAAAAAAAAAAAAAAAAAAAAAAAAAATCGCTGGTTCCAGGGAGCATATGGATTGCATTTAGCAAGAAGGAACCAGCGCGATGACGGTGTTTTCAAAATCGTGCAACTTCTTCTTTTTTAATAAAATGTTAATGAATCGATCAAAATTTTTAAAAACAGTAAAAGCTGTTGTATTAAAAATTTTGAAAAATTTAAAAAAACTCACGCTTTCACTAAATGAAAAGTGAATGGAACGCTTCATTTACGCTTTCATTTAGTGAAAGCGTGAGTTTTTTAATTTGTTGAAAGTTTTAACTTCTTCTTTTCTTTCAGAATTACTCAATACATGTTAAGTATTGAAGTGTACACAATTTTTTTCCTTTAAATTTAAGAATTTTTCGGTGGGAAGCAGAAACTAGTTGTCATTCTGGGAGATTTTTTAGATAATTATGAAGAAGCAACATTTGTACAGCACTGTAATCGCGCTATTTCCTTTTTACTAAATGCGATCCATGTACGTGTTTATATGAATTTGAGCATATTATGACCTGGTAAGAACGCAGTTTTAATTAAAAATACAAGTGATAGTCCAATGCAACGAGAAACAAGAGAAATGTACGAGAAATTTAATTTGACGAGGCTGTCTATTTTTAGTCTTGTTAGACCCAATTTTTAGTGTGTTAGATGAAAGAATTATAATCATGAAATCGATAAAATTAAATTGATATTTTTTTTTCAATTTTCTAGCTATGGTCATGTAATTGGCCCGAAACGCCCTGGCGTTCCTTAGCATATTTGAGTCTATACCCATTGTTGGGTGTTTTTTTCAGTAAGTTTACGCATTTTAACTCTCTCAAGAATTACTTTCTTACGATACAAAAAAACTAAGCCATCGTTGAAATTGATACTTTTAGAGCTGTCCAAATCCCAAGGAGATTTTAAAACTGAGACATAACTTTTGTTTCAAACTGTTGCGGCCCAATTTATAGATTAACTCAGAAATCCCATAATTTCTTTGATGGTTAGTTAAATAATTCGCGGAGGAACTTTTCCCCCATTTTATGTCAGCTCCACTGGCAACAATAGGAATAGATAGATTTAGAGTGACA